AGAAATGAATGAATACTGAGATTAATTGCGGAATTCTAAGTAATAATGTTTCTCTTGTTCATCTTCCCAAACAGATTCAATGCCTCATCAAGATTACCCAACAAGAAACAACATCCCAATCAATCATCATTTCATCAAACAATTTACGTGCACTCTCCAAAACCCCCACATGTTGAATGCATACTCTTCGACGAATTTTGAACAAAAATATCAACCCCCGCATTCTCGTACATTCTTTCAACATTTACTTGGGCATTGAAGCTCGGGCCCGGGAAGCCCATCAAGATTACCCAACAAGAAACAACATCCCAATCAATCATCATTTCATCAAACAATTTACGTGCACTCTCCAAAACCCCCACATGTTGAATGCATACTCTTCGACGAATTTTGAACAAAAATATCAACCCCCGCATTCTCGTACATTCTTTCAACATTTACTTGGGCATTGAAGCTCGGGCCCGGGAAGCCACCAAACCTGCTCGTACATTCTTTAGGGTTCATCCCCGGCATTGGTTTTTTATTTTTTTTATTTTTATAAATACAAATTTTACAAGCATATATTTGTCTGATGTACTGTTCAAAATAATAGATTTAAATAGTACAGCCGCGCGGCTATACTGTACAAATAATATATTTAAATAGTATAGCCGAGAGGCTATACTGTTTAAAATAATAGATTTAAATAGTATAGCCGCGCGGCTATACAAATAATAAATTTAAATTGTACAGCCGCGCGGCTATACGTTTACAAATAATATATTTAAATAGTATAGCCGCGCGGCTATACTGTTTAAATATATGAAGACGGCTTTTATTATCCCACCGAGTCTTGATTTCCGAGGCCGAACATACCCAATGCATCCATCCGCATTTGAATAATTTGAGTTCTGATCTCTGTCAAGGAGTCCCTGAATTTGCTGAAGGATGACCATTAGGAAGTCTGGATTATGTTGGCTGAAGATTTATTTAGCAAACCTGTATGCCGGCGGTGTTGAAAAGCTTTCACATGAGGGGCGACTAGCATTCGTGGATAATCACGTTGATGATATGTTTGATTCAGCAACAAACCCTGTTAAAGGAAACCGTTGGTGGTTAGTAGCTGAAGATCCTTCACATTTCCTGGCTGCTTGTATCAGTCTCTTAGAAGCGTTAAATAACCCATCACCACATACGTACTGTCATTTCTCATTTGCCCATCCATCCCATCAGGTAAATTACTTATTCAAGCTTTTTAGGATCCCTGTTCTTTTATTTAATATTCAAACCCATATATATATATATATATATATATATATATATATATATATATATATATATATATATATATATATATATATTATATATTCATGATCATGATCTGTTACTCATTTTTATATTGTTCTTCCATCTTTAAATTTCCATGAGCATAATTCCTAACTCTTGCATTTTCCATGTTTATCTTACTAATGAGCAATAATCTTTTTAGGATGGTTCATGCAATGGCTTACTGCACTTTGCAGCCTTGGGAAGAGATAGTGTACGTGGGTTTGTGCATGTTAATGTTATTGCACTTTAAATGTGACTTTTGTTTTCAATGTTTCTGGAATACTAGTTTGCGGAGTTTGTTTTGAGGATGTACTCAACGTTTGCAGGATCAGTGGTGATAACATAATTTATGAACAAGTTAAGCGCCCTTTTAAGTTTTGTGTTTGTATGCCAACTCTGTCATGTAATCGTCTAGCCTAGAGAAGTTCATCGGGGTGTTTATGTAGTTTGTGATAACAGGATGGTATCTCTTTTTGCTGTCAGCCCCCAATCTTCTAGCATGGGATCTGATCATAGGTGTAGCTAAAATTACCGCTAAACTTATGGGAGGTATCGGAGTAGAAAGAAAATCCATGACACTCTTGGGGATGATGAAGAAAAGAAACACCTGGTTTCATATATATATAAATATATTTTGGTGTGTGTGTGATTTAACAAAAGCTAGCCAATTTTTATATATATTTTTTTTTGTGCTCAGACAACCTTTTGAGGCTTGAAACCCAGCTCAAATCCTCCAAGAGAAAAAGCCCAAGCCCTTCCAGTTGCAGGCCTAGAGCTGCCAATCTATCAGCAACGCAATTTCCTCCTCTGCCAATCTATCAGTAATACTAAAATCTTTATATAGTAGCCATTTCTGACAGCTAGACACCAAACTATAATAGCATTTGCACAGCAATTTGAAAATCAGAATTTCAAGAGGGAACCATTCCTTTGGGCGAGAGTAGTACTAGCCTACTAGGATGGGTGACCTTCTCCGTAGTCCTCGTGTTGCACCCACTTCTTTGATTTATTCTTTAATAAATGCGGATCTTCATACAATATTTAGATAGATTTTGAAAGCTACCAGTAACAGCTATTCAATCATAAACTTACAGTCCAAGGCCTCCTTTGGCTCACCACCTTGAACAAACCCCGTTATAACGGAGTTCCCAAATATAATTTTTTTTCCTGCTTATCTTCCCAATGACACTCATGAGGATGAAGAACGTATATGGTCAATGGATTTATCATATACAGAGGAGGAAGAGTGTGTCTGAAGGGGTTAATCAGATAATTTCACTAGCAAACTGAAGACAAATGTCGAGCACAGACTGAATATTAGAGCGTACCTTGAGGAATTTCTTCCAGCAAGTGAGCTCATTCCATAAGGGTGCTTGATGATCGTTAACTTCTCAGATCGCAAGATCATAGTTCTCATCCACTTACCTATGAAACATTTCATTGAAAACAAATAGACACCTGCATTTCCTCATGAAAACTGCACCCCAACTGACTTTTCATGATTCTCATTAGAGTGATTCTGTAAAGCGCATGCCTTTCTATTTAGATATCGTTATTCAACTGATACAAGACCAACAATGCTTCCTCCATTACAACATCTGGTGATCCTCTCACAGAGAATTCAAGAACAATCCCATCGATTTCAATCATGCTAGAGCCTGGGACTTCCTTTTTTATCCCTCTTTCTTTCATTAAGGATTTGATTCTCTTTACGTCATCAAATCTATTAGCTTTGGCATATATATCACACAAGTTAACATAAAAAGCATGGTTCAGAGGTTCCAAACCAATTAAATATTGCGCCAGCCTTTCTCCTAACTCGACCTTTCCATGTATTTGACAGCCTCCGAGTAATGCACCCCAAACAAATGCATCTGGCTTCATTGGCATGCTTCTTATAAACCGTTCTGCCTCTTCAATCAGCCCAGCACGACTAAGAATATCAACCATGCATGCATAGTGATAGAGCTGCGGTTCAATTACGTAAACACGCTTCATCACATCAAAACACCAGCGACCTCTCTCTACTAAACCAGAATGAGCACAAGCTGACAATAGCCCGACAAATGTCACATGGTTTGGCTTCACCCCAGTTGTTTCCATCTGTTTAAAAATATCAAAAGCCTCATTTCCAAACCCATGGAGAGCCAACACTGAAATCATAGCTGTCCATGCCAGAGTATCCTTGTTGGGCATTTCCTGAAAGACCTCATACGCTTTGTCCACACATCCACACTTACCGTACATGTCAACCAGAGCTGTCCCAATAACCACATCACTCTCCAGGCCACTTCTCCTCAGGTACGCATGCACCCATATCCCATGATCAATTGCACCAAGATGAGCACAAGCTGCGAGGACACTGGCAATTGTGATCTTATCCGGTTTAACCATATCACCACTAGTGATCTGCATTTCATGGAAAAGTTCCAAGGCCTCCTTTGGCCGACCACCTTGAACAAACCCAGTAATCAAGGAATTCCAAGTAATGATGTTTCTCATGTTCATCTTCCCAAACAGATTCAATGCCTCATCAAGATTCCCACTTCTCAAATACCCCTTTATCATCGAGTTCCAAGAAACAACATCCCTTTCCAACATTTCATCAAACAATGTACGTGCACTATTCAGAAACCCACATGCAGAGTACATACCAATCAACGAATTTTGAACAAAAACATCATTGTCGAGCCCATACTTAATGACTTGTGCATGGAAACTCCGGCCTGTGCCGCCATCAGACCTACTCGTGCATTCTTTTACAAGGAACGGAAAAGTGAGACAATTAGGGGAAATGCCATCGCAGAGCATTTGCTTATACAGCAACAAGGACCCAAAGGAAGAAAGAGTTTCATCCTCACTACTGATTTTTGTACACGCATATGCTCTGATCATGACGTTATAGACGTAGAGATTCGGATCCTTTATGACCCGAAAGACATGGGCAGCGTATCTGTGAGAACCCGAATCAGAATCAGAAATGGCGGAGAAGAATAGGAGACGGGTAATGAGGAAAGCTTGGTCATCTGTGGATAAAAATGGAGACTTTATGATTTGGGTATGAATTTTCTTAAGCTCTCTAATGTTCTTGAACTCCTCGAGCAAGTGTAGTAGTGTGCTCCGAAGACTTGGCATTTGGATTTTCAACCATTCATTCTCTGGAGATTTAAATGGCAGAGAGATTTATATATCATTTTGAAGGAAGCCCAAGTCTTAATATTTCACCTTTCCACTCCTTTGTATATCTTCAGCTTATCTTTTTTAATTGAATCAGAACGACCACACGCTAATACGAATAAAACTTGTTAAAAGTAATTATAAAGATTCAAATTCAGAAGGGTCAGCAGACAATGTTGTTTATATCAGCTTAGCCTTGCAATTGTGTTTGAATTATAATTACCAGTGGAACAGCTGGGTATAGCCTGGTTGTCTCATTCAAAGTAAATGACACTCGGTCTTCCGAATTTTCAAGGGCCGATGCGATCATGCGAGCCTATATCTGGCTGAGCTGTTACTAGGGTGCGTGCTGCATACTTCTGGTAAACTGTAAAAGTGAGTTGGCTATCTCAAGTACCTTCTAATTCCGTGGTATTTTATCTTTAAAGTTAGGAAATGTCCAAGATCTATTTTCAACCGTATCACATTTGATTTCAATGAGATGAAAGAAAGAAATATATCATTACAACATAAGGGAAGATAATTAATTTTATTGGAGATCGAGCAATTATTCATAATATAGTGATAAGGTTGGTCCAATGCAGAACAGTAATGCTTACAGCAGAACGCATTTGTGTCATCAAATACGTAATGAACCAACTATAGGCTGCTTCTTTTGTTATGATAATTAAGAAGCAATACAATAAATATATAGAAAAAGTACTGGAAGTTTAAGGCATACATATATCTAATTAAGGTCTTGCATTGCATGCGCAAATCTTGGAGACGCTTGCACATAAAGGCCTCCCTCGATATGGTGGGTGATCTTGGTCTTGTAGTTGGCCACTTTGTTCTCATCCCTCAGCTTGAATATGTAGCTGCCAACAAGTACAGCAGAAAACATCATCGTCTCTCTATGAGCAAAGTCCTTCCCCAGACAAATCCTTGGACCGGCCTGTGTAAATCATATTTTAAATTTCTTCAGAATTAAAATAATTTCTCTCCAGCAAACAAGAAAACATGTGTAATATGTGTCAGTGATGATATCTCAACATTCTTTCCTTACACTGAAGGCTGTGAATTTGAAAGAGCTTTCTTGCTTGAAAACCCCATTTTCGTCGAGCCATCTCTCTGGCCGAAATTCTTCTGCATCATCACCCCATAGAAATTTCATCCTCCCCATGCCATAAGCGTGGTATCCCACCATATCCCCTTTTTTTACACTAAATCCATCTGGCCAAGTATCGTCACATGAACAAATCTTCGCATTCTATGACACCATGACACAAACTTGATACTTTGTTCATTGATAAGTGAAAAAATAAAGGATAGAATAGATCCAAATTCAGGCATTAGATTTCAGATGCTAAAAGATAAAATTACCAATGGAACTGCAGGGTAGAGCCTGGTTGTCTCAGTCAAAGCTGCAACCAGATATTGCATTTTGTCAAGGGCTTCTTCAGTAAGGTTGTCGGCAAGCTCATCAATGCTTGAATTATCCTTCACATTTGTTGCTTCTCTAAGTTCCTGTGCAATCTTTTCCTGTATATGAGGATGCTTGCAGATCATATAAATAAACCATGAAAGAGTGCTAGCCGTTGTGTCTTTTCCGGCAACAACCAAACTGAAGATCATGTCTCTCAAGTACTTTGGATCAGTCTCCCTCGATTCCAAAAGCCTCGAAACAATGTCTCTTCTCTTCAACTGCCACTCATTCAGTTGCATTAAAAATAATAATAATAATAATTTGGCTTATTATCACAAAACGTCCCTGACGTTTGTGAAACTATCACATTGCATCCTTAAAGTTTTTTTCTATCACTGATGGTCCTTAACGTTAATATAGGTGCTCTCAAATAGTCCTTCTGTTAAAAAAAACTGTTAAATTCAGGGATATAATCGTCAAATCAATCCAAAAATATAAAATATATATATAAGTTTCTCTCTCCCCTCTTTCTTTTCTGTTTTCTTTCCTTCTCTCTTCCCTGTCTCTATCTGGCATGTGTTACTGATCATATCAACATTAATTTATTTCTTACACTGAAGGCTATGAATTTGAAAGGGCTTTCTTGTTGGAAAAGACCATTTTCATCAAGCCATCTCTCTGGCCGAAATTCTTCTGCATCATCACCCCATAGAAATTTCATCCTCCCCATGCCATAAGCGTGGTATCCCACCATATCCCCTTTTTTTACACTAAATCCATCTGGCCAAGTATCGTCACATGAACAAATCTTCGCATTCTATGACACCATGACACAAACTTGATACTTTGTTCATTGATAAGTGAAAAAATAAAGGATAGAATAGATCCAAATTCAGGCATTAGATTTCAGATGCTAAAAGATAAAATTACCAATGGAACTGCAGGGTAGAGCCTGGTTGTCTCAGTCAAAGCTGCAACCAGATATTGCATTTTGTCAAGGGCTTCTTCAGTAAGGTTGTCGGCAAGCTCATCAATGCTTGAATTATCCTTCACATTTGTTGCTTCTCTAAGTTCCTGTGCAATCTTTTCCTGTATATGAGGATGCTTGCAGATCATATAAATAAACCATGAAAGAGTGCTAGCCGTTGTGTCTTTTCCGGCAACAACCAAACTGAAGATCATGTCTCTCAAGTACTTTGGATCAGTCTCCCTCGATTCCAAAAGCCTCGAAACAATGTCTCTTCTCTTCAACTGCCACTCATTCAGTTGCATTAAAAATAATAATAATAATAATTTAATTCAAATAATCTAGAACAAAACAGATATGGACTGGAAGCCAGAAGATAACTCACATGTGGATCATCTCCTGAATTTGCAACTGTTTCAGTCTTGCTTTTGATTAAGTTATAAACAAACTCATCTACCACTTTTAAATTCTTCCTTAGCATGGCTTCTGATCCAATGTCTAACAACTTTTTAATCTTCCAGGAGAAATCAACGCAACGATACAAGGTCAGCTCATTTAGTACATCAAAAGCATTGGAAAACCGGGTAGCTTCTTCATTTGTCCCATACATGGTGTCTACTTCGATACCAAGGAGAACCTTGACGATTGAATCTAAGGCTGCTTTCATAAACAAATTCTTCCCAAAAACAAACAAAACGTCAAGATTAAAATATCTACAGAAGAAATCAAATAACAATGCAATGCAAGCTTACTTGGATGTCTATTGCTTGGTCGGAGGTTGCAGCTTCAGAAATTATCCGAGCAAGTTTTACACCATTGCTTTTGAAAACAGCACCGCTGAAGTCTCTCACTGCTTTGGTTGATAATTCACTGCTTGCTACCTTCCTTAGATGTACCCATTTTTCGCCATCCACGGCGAAGATCCCACTACCCAAACCATCTGACAAAATGTTGTAGAGGTCCAACCCCTGCAGCAGCAGGTCAGGATTTGGAGCTAATCATGTTTGAAATCTTTGGCATGTTAATTTGCTTCAATAGTTTTAGTATATAAAATATGTTAGATGAATGAAAGTAAGGAAGGACAAGATATGTAATTGCATTGATATAGTAGTTACTTAAGAACAATTGAACACATACCCTGCCATAGTTTGCAAAGTTTGTTTTGAGGATATATTCCACATTTGCAGGATCTGTGGTGAAAACAAAATTTGTGAACAAGTTAAGCACCCGATAAGTTTTGTGTTTGCATGCTAACTCAGTCATGTAATCGTGTAGCCTAGAGAAGTTGATGAGGGCGCTTAAGAAGGTTGCGACAACAGGATGATATCTCTTTTTGTTCTTCTCAGTACCCAAATGGACTCTGATCATAAGTATAGCTAAAATTACTGCTAAACTTATTGCAATGGGAGGTAAGGAAATAGGAAGAAAATCCATGATACTCATCCGATGATGAACGAAAGAAACACTTGTTACATATATATAATGTTACAGCACCACTTTATCTCCCAGTGGAGTGACATCAAATTCATAATCCAAGGCCTCGTTTGGCCACCCACAAGGTTATAATGGAATCCCAAATAATAATGTTTTCTTTATGACGACTTACTTACAGCCAATTTATGCTCTGACCACGTGGTTGCAGAAGGGGAAGTGATAACAGCTGTTAGCATAACTTATGAAAGTTCTTTAGAAGGTTTTACAGAAGAGGAAAGTTGAGATACAAATGTATTTCACATATTCAGAATGGCCCAGCGTGCCTTTACGATTCCTGAGCTATTGCTTTTATACAGAAAAGGAAAACCCTAGAGAGAGCTAGGGCACAAAAAAGGTATAGAGGTATATTCTATAACTCTATCTCATCTATACACGTTAGCACAAGAGAGATGACCGTTGGTCCTTTGCATGACTGTCCTTTGGCTTTGTCTTGGAGTGAGTGTGGGTGTGCTGAGAGGACTGTAAGTTTTGTGTTTGCGTGCAAGCTCAGTCATGTAATCGTGTAGCCTGGAGAAGTTGATCAGGACGTTTAAGAAGGTTGTCACAACAGGATGGTATCTCTTTTTGTCCTCAGTGCCCAATCTTCTAGCATGGGATATGATCACAAGTATAGCTAAAATTACTGATAAGCTTATTGCTATGGGAGGTAAAGGAGTAGAAAGAAAGTCCATGACAGAACTCATGGCTAAGGATGATGACGAAAAGAAACCCTGTATCATCGTCGTATATATATATACACACACAATGACACTGAGGTTGAGTAACCTTATTTTTCTTAAAATAAAGATATCATATTTCTGAGATGCAGACACCGTTGAGTTTTTAGATTCTCTTTCAAGGATTATGCACATTTAATGTTTCCGTTTCATCTCACCAACTGTGTATTTTTGCACATTTTATATGACCAAACAACTTAATGATTTTTGTTAAGGGTAACCTAAAATATAGAAGGGTCCAATCATCGAAATACATTATATGGTAGCCCTAAATAGGATGTATGCACTTATGTTACATTATTTGTCTTAAAACAATCAATTTGAAGTGATTTGATTCATTGAGCTCAAGGCCTAGAATTGGGCTATTATTATAAAATGATGATGATATGGAGCTATGAGTGTGGGGATCCATATGGAGATGAGATGGAACGTAGGTAGGAGGCAGATATAGAGGCGGTGACGGCAGTGGGTATGTAGGTGGAGGAGGGAGGTCTTATTTTGATACCATTACCAATTAATGGGTTACCTTTAACAGAGGCAGCATTAGACATTGAAAATTTCCAATACGAGGGGAAGAATATAAGAAATAAATATGCTGATTTGTTTTATTAACCCTCCTTTTTTTTTTTCTTAAAAAAAAAAGTGTACTATGAATGAAAGCTTGTAATAGGACCCCTATACTTAAGAGGTGTACATCAGTATTCAATAAGGATTTTTAGAAATTTTATAAAATTGGGGTAATATTCAAAAAGAAGATGCCGTCTATAGTATTCAATTAGTACACTAAGCCAAAACCTTTAGGGAGAAATAAATAAAGAAGACGCCATCTATGTTTGCAACCAAACCAGGAATGCAGCCAACACTAACAAGAATTAATCATATGATGTTATTACTGAAAAGGTAGGAAGTGTATGAACTGTACTGTACCTTCGGGAAAAAGGAAGCCTTAAGAAAAGATTGGACATTGTGTTGACAACATCAGGCATAACAAACTGATAACGTATCAGTTGCATGATTGCAAACCACAGGTTCTTTGTAATGCCCTCTGCAGAATGTCGAGCAACCGCATGCCCAACCTATCACCACCCAGAAAGAGAACTTTATCATCTTATTATCTTCACACAATTGTTCAACTAATTAACCAATCAAATCATATAACAGCTCTAAAGAAGTAAACAAAACCAAACAATGAAATCTTCATACCTCATGACCAATGATCGTAGCTATCTCAGCATCACTTCTAAAATGTTTCAGCAACTCCGTGAAGACGACAATCTTCCTGCCAGGCAAGCAAAATGCATTGAAGCCCATCTTCAACATGGTGCTTAAAATTTTATCATACTCAGGAAATAAAAAGGGATTAGAATTTGGACGCGAGATTTCATATTTCTTTACACAACTTTCTAAAGGAAGCCCATGTCTTAAATTTTAAGCATCATCAAAAGCAGCAAGCAAGCACAGAAAACATAGATTAAAATTTAAACTAAAAGAGAAGAGAACCCCATATTTCACATTTGTTTGTATATCTTCAGCATAAGTTTCAGTTGAAAAGAATCCTCCAACCGCAAACAATTGCAGATAAATTTAGCAACAATTAATTTCTTCGAAATAAAAACATGTCGTAATAGGAGGATTACAGTTCAGATGTTCAGGCACGACAATACAAACTCGGTCATGCCCATCGAAGCCGTTTATCTGAAACGTGAACAAGTTCACTCTCACCATTTTACTCTGCCGCAGCTTCAGTGACTGAGAATGGTTATCGATTTCATCTTCGCCGCTTCGGCGGTATTGCAGCCACGGTTGGGCCCAAGGCAACCTAACCCAAAACAATGACATGGGCTTTCTTATTCAATACATGTGGAGGGATCGTGGATCGTGAGATTGGGCCCAATGGAAGCAAAGGATGGAGTCCTTCTATAGTGAGAACCTTATATATGATCCGAAAGACATATATACATCAACTCCTTCTGTTTCAGCATGTTTGTCGGAAAGCAAACTTTGTAGGATATGCTTTGGCAATGCTAGGCCGTGATCAAACGCAACTTTCCATTTGGTCCTCTAATTTTCCTTTTTATGTTGTTTGTAAAGCTTTATATGATCTACGGAGTTTAGGGATCCGACACAAATTCTTGTTGTAATTTCTTTTGAGTTTGAAAAAATCAATTATATAAAAATATATATATATATCATTCATTAGCAACATCACCCCCATAGAAATTTCATCCTGCCCATGCCATAGTTTGCAAAGTTCGTTTCGAATCGAGGATGTATTCAACAAACTTTGAAAACTCATTCATTTGGCCAACCATCTTTGATCCTCTGATCACGACCTTACAGACGTAGTGCTATGCCGTACGCGAAGTGATATAAGAGCTGGTTATTAGCATAACTTACTGATCATCGTTATTACAAAGACAAAATTATGTACAAATCCAAGCAATGAGATAGAAGAATGAAACATATATATATATAAAGCAAAAATGCAGAGAATGGTAAAATATTCAAAATACCGAACCAGAAAATGCTCTTAGTTAATGCAAATATTAAGAATTGAAATTATTAATTAAATGAGGATAATATGGTAAATTCACACTTTTTCATATTAGAAAAAAAAAAAAAAAAATAAAATAAGATAATAAATCCTATTTTTATGGACAAAAACTCCCCATTATCTTTTTTAATTCTAAAATAAATTTAAATTTTTTTAAAAAAAAAGCCTCTCACAAGTGCGCTAGTTAACAAGAACAACATAAGATCAAGAAGATGATTAATTTTATTAGTTGGAGATCAATTATTCATAGTATACTAACTACAGTGATGATAAGGTTGTGAAGCAATGATCCAAATGGAAAGCAACAATGCTTACAACACAAGGCATTTGTGTGATCATCGAACTATAGTCTTGGAGAGGCGTGCACATAAAGGCCCCCATCAATATGGTGGGTGATCTTGATCTTATACTTGGCCACTTCATTCTCATCCCTCAGCTTGAATATGCAGCTGCCTAAGAGCACAGCAGAAAAGATCGTTGTCACTTTATAAGCAAAGTCCTTCCCTAGACAAATCCTTGGACCCGCGCTGTGTAAATCAAAAATCAAATTTCCAATAATTACAAGAAACATAAAATGTGACATGTGTAATTATGATATCTCAACATTTTTCCTTACACCGAAGGCCTTGAATTTGAAAGAGCTTTCTTGCTGGAAATGGCCATTTTCGTTGAGCCATCTCTCAGGCCGAAATTCTTCATCATCATCACCCCATAGATGTTTCATCCTCCCCATGCTATAAGCGTTGTATCCCACCATATCCCCTTTTTTGACACTAAATCCATCTGGCCAAGTATCATCAGAAAAACAAATCTTCGCGTTCTAGGACAGCATCAAACAAACTAAATTTGTCAATCAATAAGTAATAAACAAAGGATACAAATTCAGCAAATTAAGCCAGAGATTCAGGCATTATATTTCAGATGTTAAATTACCATTGGAACTGCAGGGTATAGCCTGGTTGTCTCAGTTAAGGCTGCAACCAGATATTGCATTTTGTCAAGCGCTTCTTCAGTAAGGCTGGCTGCAAGCTCATCAATGCTTGAATTGTCTTTCAGATTTGTTGCTTCTCTAACTTCCTTTGCAATCTTTTCTTGTATATGAGGATGCTTGCAGAGCATATAAATCAACCATGTAAGAGCGCTGGCCGTTGTGTCTTTTCAGGCAATAATGATACTGTAGATCATGTCTCTCAAGTACTTTGGATCAGCCTCTCCCGATTCCAAAACCCTTGAAACAATGTCCCTTTTCTTCAACTGTCATTCATTCAATTGCATTAATAATAATACTAAATTAATTCAAGCTAGAACAAAACAGAGGGACTGGAAGCCAAAAGGTAACTCACATGTAGCTCATCTCCTGAATTAGGAACTGTTTCAATCTTGCTTTTGATCAAGTTATAAACAAATTCATCTACCACTTTGATATTTTTCCTTAGCGCAGTTTCTGATCCAATGTTTAAGAACTTTTTGATCTTCCAGGAGAAATCAGCATAACGATATATGGCCATTTCATTTGCTACATCAAAAGCATTGGAAAACTGGGTAGCTTCTTCATTTGTCCCATACATGGTGTCTAGTTCGATACCAAGGAGAACCTTGACGATTGAATCTGAGGCTGCTTTCGTAAACAAATCCTTCCCCCAAAAAAGAAAACACATCAAGATTAAAATATCTGCAAAAAATGATAATAATAACAATACAATGCGATATGTAATTATTGAAGCCTTAATGCAAGCTTACTTACTTGGATCTCTGTTGCTTGACCGGAGGTTGCAGCTTCAGAAATAATCCCAGCAAGTTAACACCATTGGTTTTGAAAACCGCCCGGCCCAAGTCTCTCACTACTTTGGATGATATTTCACATGCTTGATACCTTTCTATGATGTAGCCATTTTTCGCCATCCGCCGTGAAGATCCCGTTGCCCAAAAGTTCTGACAAAATGCTGTAGTGGTGCAAACCCTGCAGCCGGTCAGGTTATGGAGCTTATCATGTTTGAAATCTTTGGCATATTGATATGTTTCTATGGAAACGTAATGATATTTTTTACTAGTTATAGTATATAAAATACTTTAGATAAAGGAACTGGAATTTGTTCGGCCCTGTTTTACAGAAATGCAAGAATGACAGTGCAGTATTCTGGACTTTATACTTGATGTATATATAAAACATACCCTGCCGTAGTTTGCAAAGTTTTTTTTTGAGGAAGTATTCCAAATTTGCAGGATCTATGGTGAAAACATAATTTACGGACAAGTTAAGCATCCTATAAGTTTTGTGTTTCCATGAAAGCTCAGTTATGTAATTGTGTATCGTAGAGAAGTTGATCAGGACGTTTAAGAAGGTTGTAGTAACAGGATGGTATCTCTTTTTGTTCACAGTACCCAAATGGGCTCTGATCATAAGTAAAGCTAAAATCACTGCTAAACTTATTATTGCAATGGCAGGTAAAGGAGTGGAAAGAAAGTCCATGGCAGAACTCATGGCTGGGGACGATGAAGAAAAGAAACCCTTCACCATTATCATAAATCAACTTCGAATCAGGGTATTTATATGTAGTGAACTTACTTCTCGTCTTAAAATAATCAATTTAATGAAAGCTAACTATAGCATATGGGCATGATGAGATTAATCATAGGGAGCTACTGAGTGTGGAGTCCGCATGTAGATGAGAATCGAGATGGTAAGTAGGCGGATATTGAGGCGGGGCGGGGCGCTGTGGTTACATCGGCGGAGGTCCTTTTTTACACCAATTTAGAGAGGCAGCGAAAGACATTGATAATGTCCAGGAAAATACAAGCAAAAGGAAATAAGAAATAAATAAGCTGATTTATTTTATCCACCAACCATATTATAATCGTGTTTACTAGCTACTAATTAATAAGCAAATTAAGTACCATACTACACTTGCGTTGAGTTTAATAGTTTGGTGGAATTAACCGACTCCTACACCAAGCTCAATGTGATCATCATCTAATAATAGCCTCCTAATCCTGGACCTCCTTTGGCCAACCACCCTGAACAAACCCAGTTATTATGGAATTCCAAATAATAATGTTTTTCCTATTCATCTTACCAAACAGATTCAATGCCTCGACAACAAGACTTCACATACTCAAGAAATACTACTTTTTAAAAGAAAACACCATAATTCACATTTCTTTGTATCTCTTTAGCATAAATTTCTGTGCATATTTTTAAGGCTGCAGAAATTTCCGATTTACACTTGAAAGTTAAAACCAAAGACAAAACTCGGTTGGAAAGGATCTTGCCGCCGGAAACATGCAGATACAGGGATCCTCTCCAAAAGTTAAAAATAAAAAATGGAACTGTGGCAGGCAGGAGTTAGGAGTTACATGGTGATCAAATGTAGGGGCCGTCCTAAAGAAAACCTTCAACCCCACGTCCAGCTCTTACATCCCGGTATATGGCAAGTGCTTCTTCCATTATCTTAGCTTGAGCAAGCAACTGAGCTCTCTTTTTACCGGATGGATGGGTTGAAAGATAATCTCTCAGTGCAGATTCACCGGAAATTTTGCCCAACTTCTCGTACACCGTTGGAGCCACTCTAGGATCATATCCAGCAGAAGCAACCAACAGCAGCCCAATGTGATCTGCTTCAATTTCCATCCTAATCAAGAGAAAGAGCATGAGCACTAGAACATGGAAAATGATATGTTTGTGCTGCTCACAATTGTGTCAAGCTATCAGCAGTTACGCAAACACAATGACATAATAATTATGAGAAAAACAAAATATAAAGAGCAAATTTATTTAAACATCCAATCGTGAATCCAAACAACTCTGATCTGGTAGTAAAAAGCTATTCAGTAAGTCCAGAAACACTAATCCTACAACATTCAAAACGACATACACGTTAGATTATGAAAATGTTACCACTGCAGTAAGTAAAAATACCATTTTTATTCTTCTTCTGCTCAATATTACAGTGGATACAATTACAGACCAACAAATCATCATCTGTCCACAAGATTTAGTAATATAGATTTTCCAAAATTAAATCCTAGATAAACAAACCATTATATAGTGTGAAATATTAATAGGTGCAATGAGGTTCATTTTACCCAAAAAACACTGAAAATCCTTATAGAAACCAAACAAGGTTCCTAATGGTCAGAAACATGAGATGAAATTACATTTAGCAAGTGAAAACACTGAAATGAATACGGATGTTAAAAATAAATATTAAAAAAAACAAGAGTTTTATGGGCAAAACATAAAGAGTAAACGAACGAACAAGAATTCACCACTAGTGATATAACGATGAATCTAATGGATCTTTCAGTAAGAATCAACAAGACAAATCCCAACGGAATCACATTTCACTGTAAATCTAATGGATCATTCAGTAAGGTAATATTGGAGGTCAACCAGAACAGTGGAAGAAGTCTCTCTCATCTTTCCTGGGGAAGCATTAGTGCCTGGGAGTGTCAAGGGTCTTTGTAACAATACAATTCCCTTTTTTACATTTGCTGGAAACCCATGGGTTTTTGTCTTTTTTATTTGGTTATATCTAGCTAGTGACAGAATATTTAAATAACCAGTAAACACATATCCATATAGCAAACATTTCATGTTGAGCACATTTCCAGACTAGCATTAATCCATTGTTTGGAACAATGAAGCTCCAACTTGAAATAGTAAAAGCTTTTTTCACATTAAGTCAAACTGTCAAAATATTTTCCAAGGCTCTTTAACCATTTTTGGGAGACTTCACATGTTCAAACATCTTAATAGAACCAGGTCAGAACCTTTAGTGAACAAATATGACCCATACCATTATCTAACCCGTAAACAACTCCATTCCTAGTACACTAAGCCAAAACCTTTAGTGAGAAGTAAATAAAGAAGACGCCATCTATGTTTGCAACCAAACCAAGAATGCCATCAGAATGAGCCAACACTAACAAGAATTAATCATATGATGTTATTACTGAAAAGGTAGGAAGTAGATGAACTGTACTGTACCTTCGAGAAAAAGGAAGCTTTAAGAAAAGATTGGACATTGTGTTGACAACATCAGGCATAACAAACTGATAAAGTATCAGTTGCAGGATTGCAAACCACAGGTTCTTTGTAATGCCCTCTGCAGAATGTCGAGCAACCGCATGCCCAACCTATCACCACCCAGAAAAAGAACTTTAACATCTTATCTTCACACAATTGTTCAACTAATTAACCAATCAAATCATATAACAGCACTAAAGAAGTAAACAAAACCAAACAATGAAATCTTCATACCTCATGACCAATGATCGTAGCTATCTCAGCATCACTTCTAAAATGTTTCAGCAACCCCGTGAAGACGACAATCTTCCCGCCAGGCAAGCAAAATGCATTGACAACAGGTTCATCCACCACCAAAACCTCCCAATTCAGATGATCCAAATGCGAAGTAGCAGTTTTAGTACCTCGTTCCTGACCCGTCTTCCTACTCTTCTGAATCCATTCATCATCAAGAATCTCATCTTCACGGGACCACTTCTTCACCTCTTCTCCAACGTCCTTCAGTGCCATCAAAGTGTCATGCCCACTACCTTCATGTGCCGGCTCGAATCTATCAGAGGCATACTCCAAGTCACTCCAGCCCACCTCATGCCTTAACCCTCTCTGCAAAGCCTCAATTATATCCTTGGCAATCAACCTAACGCGGACGCTGTCTGGGTGTATAGCAGGCAATATTTTCCCTTTGAAACTGGCTTTCAATTGCTCAAACTGGGACTCTCCCATCTTCTTCTCCAAGGCTTTCGACAAAATCACAAAATGGGTTCGCTTCGTGTAGGGAATAGTCTCCAAATTCCCAAAATACACAGTGATGAAAACCCCAGAACCCACCAGAACCACAATGAACATGTTTCTAGGACTCTGAAACCACTTACGGGGGCCTCTCGGTTTAAAATGGTGCACGCTGTTCCGATCGACATAGTAATATCTCTTGGCAGAATCAAGAAAGGGACTAGTGTACTGTGTTCTTCTGGTAAATCCAAGTTGTGGAATTGATTTTTGTGAAAGAGAAGAATACCGAGAAAACCCAGAAAACTTATCTTTGTTGGAGGCCAAAGTGGAAGACTCGGTTGAGAAGGCTCTCGAAATGGGTTCTTTAGCTACACCTTTGGGTACAATCCTCGCAGTGAATCCGCGAAAGGCATCTACTGCAAGCTTTGCTCTTCTGTAGCATCCCATGACGAACAAGGTCTCAACTTTAAAAAATGAAAAAACTTCTAACAACGATTTGAAATTTCAGCGAGAAAATATGGTTTGGATCGGTGGCTCTTCTGGGTTTAAGAGCGGGAACCGAAGAAGTTGAAGAAGAAGCAAAGAACTCTGCCTGTCGCCGAAAGAAAGGGCTGGAAGAATCGGGGGGAACGAAATGAAATTCGATGAGGGTGCGTATACGACGACGTGTCGTGAGCCACAAGCACAACTGTTTTATTTATTTATATAAAAATTTTGTTGTCTAATTGGGACCAACGGAACCCGGTACGAGAAAGTAGACCTTGAATAAACACAATGCAATCATTAATCCAAATAGTCTAAGTCTTAAAAAGATAGTGCAAAATCAGCAAAGAACTCTGCCTGTCGCCGAAAGAAAGGGCTGGAAGAATCGGGGGGAACGAAATGAAATTCGATGAGGGTGCGTATACGACGACGTGTCGTGAGCCACAAGCACAACTGTTTTATTTATTTATTTTTTTTTAAAATTTTTTTGTTGTCTAATTGGGACCAACGGAACCCGGTACGAGAAAGTAGACCTTGAATAAACACAATGCAATCATTAATCCAAATAGTCTAAGTCTTAAAAAGATAGTGCAAAATCAACTCTTCTCAGTTGACAAGGTAAAATTCCAATTAGAAAAATTATATTTGGAGTTGAACGCGAGTTATATGAAATATTTAACTATCATCAGAGGTCACAAGTTCTAAGAAATTATCTCGAAAGGAAATAAGATGAGAAAGAACAAAACAACAGAAACACATAGCACTCATCTTTGTTTATATCTGGTAAATAGAAAAAGTTACAAATTAGAAACCGTTCTTACATTCCACGAACTTGAGAAGCAGATAGGAAAAATAAGGAAAATCTCATTGACTAGTAAAGGGTTAAAAGGAAAAAACACAAACTAGGACCTAATAAACGAGAACAAAATTGTAGAATAAAATAGAGAAAGGGGTTGACAGAATAATAGGCTATACGCAAAACGAACAAAAAAATGATCCCTTAATGAGCCAAACCAAGGCCCTCTACTGAATATTTTCTTCATTGTCAAAATATGCTCTACCCCAACTCATCAGATCAACTGGCTTCTCGTCCCTCCACCACTTGAAACCATTGTAAATGCAACCTTTATTGTTTTGTGTTGCTCACAACAGATTAAGTGTTGAGGAACATTGATAGAAGGTTTCACCATTTGTTTCCATAGTTGCTGCGACCTCTCCCACCACCGGATCGGTTTGAAAACCTATCATTTCTTCTATCAGAAGAACCACCACCCCTGCCAAACCTTCCACCACGGAAGCCACCACCACCGCCAAATCTTCCTCCCCTTGCTTCTTTTTCTTGTAAATTCGGCAGTGATTCCAATACCTCTATGCTCACACTAGCCGCATTTTCCTGACCTGCACCCAAAATACAGATGATACAACAAGTATCAGACTTGTAAGACAAGAAAACCAACCAACTACAGGACAAATCTGTCATGACGAGAATTCCCATGTCTAAAAGGAAATAATTGAATAAGGCGAGTTCCTGGTACATTTGTATGCACGAGCAATTTTTGTACACCCATGATAATCACACTGATGTGAAAAGAAAAATACCAGCAAGAAACATATCCAAATCTTCAGCTGCTACATCGAACACTGCGCCTTTTCCATCAGCTGTTAGCGCCATACCCTTCACTGACTCAACCTTCTCCTCAGGCAAGAACCTCCTCAAGACCCCATAAGCAAAACTGAAACAAGGTTGGTGCAAATCAGGAGTCAAACATGATCAAGAAATTAACTCGCCAACACTAAAAAAGATAAAAGATAGGGTTAACCAGAAAACCCACTAACTGGCGATCTGAAGTACTTTAAAAAACCATTTTACTAAAAGTGCACAAACTAAATCAATATAAGATATAACTATAGATACTTGTATATTAAACCATTCATGATATGGTAGAATGAAAAAATCACAATGTGACTCCCATTCCAATAATCAACATTAGCAAGTACTTGTATCCACATGTGAAACTAAAACAGAAGAACAGGACAGCGGCGAGTGCATGTCCTTCTTTTAGTAATTATGCATGAGACATAAAATTAAAACACAAGACAAAAAGTGAAAAGTGCTTACGACGGTGAATAAATAGGTTTTCCAGCCTCGAGGAGTACTGTGACATGGTTCTCCATAGAGGATAGAAGTGATCTCTTCTTTATCTCGGTGTAGCCCTGCACACAATACAATAAACAACTTATAAGCTGATAAATAAAGAACATGAAATACAATGACATTTTATTTTTAAATAAAAAGGCACATCAAATAAGGAAGAAATAGAAAAGCTCACAGCAGCCTTAGCAAGCGCTTTTGCCAGTAGTTCTACAGCAGATAGTTCAGAGGTCTTAAGTAGCTCCTCGGCAACAGACTTGAAAGCGGGAATTACACTGAAATTAAAAAAGTATTAAAATATGAACCTGATCACATCAAAGTGCTACAAGCATCGCCATCTCAACTATACCTATCAGAGATTCGGGTTATCATTTCTGCTGCATCCTGACCTACTGCTTTGGCAACATCAACTGGCTTAGGAGCACTTATGTGTTCGAATTTCACCCCTGACTCTCTTTCGATTTTTGAAACATTTGACCTTCTGGGATCATAAAGCATTACAGCAACTCCAGTATTGCCTGAAAGAATGGACACACCGCTAAGTACCACATAAAAGTACAGCCATTAAATAATAAAATACAAGAAAACAAGAAATGCCAAATTTTTCAAGATGTACCTGCTCTGCCTGTGCGTCCAGATCGATGGATATAGTCTTCAACATCACGTGGAGGTTCACACTGAAAAATAAACATTAAAAGTAAGTATCTGAGATTGATAAAAATTACAAAGCTTACCAATATGCACAGACACAAACCTGGATAATTAATTGAACGTCATTGATATCCAATCCACGCGCTGCCACATTTGTGGCCACTAATGTCATAAACTTGCCAGACCTGAAACCAGAGAGTGTGACCTGAAAGTACCAGACCACGGAGAGGAAAAAATAGATTCTCGGATTAGAAAAACAAAAATATTTAGCTTTATTAGAAAAGAAATGTTAATGTCAAAGGAAAGAACCCTGAAATTACATAATTCAGTAAAATTGAACAGACACAAGGGGAAAAAATACATGTACTTAAAAAACTTACCTCGCGTTGACCCTGCTGTATGTCCCCATGCAAAGCACGTGCTCCAGGCAGCAACCCAGCAAGTTCAGAAGCAGCTTCCTTAGTCTCAGTGAAAATGATTGTGCGGCCTCCACTGAGTCAGAAACATACATTTCAGTACATGAAAAAAGATTTACAAACAATTTACCCAAAACTAAAAATAGAAAGCATGCATTATTGTTCACTAGGAAAAAAAAAACCAACCTGCTATAACAACGAATGATATCAGGAATAAGTTGTGATCTTGCTGAACTGGAGCAAGGAAGAACAATATGCCTAACATTATGACTGGCCTTCATTTTTTCATTACCAACCAGATCAGCAGTTTTCTTATTTGGTTTAAGAAACCTAGAAGAAATCTGAAAACAAGAAAAGTAAAATATCATTCATGTGCCAAGGATGGAGGAAAGGTCTAATGTCAGAACAAAATCCATCTATAACCAAAACAAGTTTCAGGTATACAAACTGAATTCAGGATCTCAGTTAAGATACTTACGCCTTTCACCCAATCCGGCAAAGTTGCACTGAAGAGAAGCGTTTGAACTTTACTTACATCCCCTACCTTTCCTGCAAACCCAACGAAAAGATATTAATTGCCATTTAAAATTCTTGCCACCAACCAAATTAAAGAGTAGTGACACAGCACACAGATCATAGCACTCTGAAAATGTTTAGCTGCAACATAGTTTGACTTTGACACATAAATTTTGCACGAATAAGTAACAATTTTGAAAACCCATTTATCCCCTGTCAACGAAAGAAACTTTGACAGTCTAATGTCAAAAGAACATGATTTGACAGCAGTCAAATAGCAAGAGAAGTCTTCGCAAAACACAAAGATAATATAATCACACGTTTCAGATTGACATGTACAATTTTAAAAAAAATTCACTAACCACAAGCATGGATACAAAATACTAAATGGAAGATATGAGGCAGTCACGGAAATAATCAAACATGCTACCAAAAATGGATGTTGACATTACTGCAAACGCATACCTAGAATGAGTTCAACATCATCAACAAACCCCATCCTCAACATTTCATCAGCCTCATCAAGGACCCGGAACTTCAAGGTACTTAAGTCGATATTTCCCTTCTCTATATGATCCTACAAATTTCCAAAAAATTAATTTATAATTACAAGTATACCGTAAAGTGCCAGAGCTAGCACAAGAACTCAACTATGATGGACAATAGCCAATACCTTTATACGTCCGGGTGTTCCAATAACAATATCAACCCCTCTCTTCAACTTATATTCTTGAGGCTGGTAGGGAGATCCACCGTATACACAACATGCTGCTAACCCCATAGCACCACCATAAAACTCAAAGTCGGCAAAAACCTGAATGAACCAAAAATTGTCTAAGTGAATACTCTCAAAGCAACAACATTGCAAGCATTAGGTCCGGGTAAATTAAAAATACCTGTTTCGCTAGTTCCCTAGTGGGTAAAAGTACGATAACAGTTGGAGCTCTACCATAACCAGTCTTTCTAAATGCTTTTGCAGGGCCATTTATTAAAGACTCCAAAATGGGCAACACAAAAGCCAGAGTTTTACCCTGCAATATTGCAAAACAATAAGTATACAATTTAGAAATTGAATTAACAAGGTAAGTATTTCAATCCAATTCTACCAAAGAATATATTTCAATCCAGATAAACAAACCACAAAAGAATGGAAAAAAAATCTGCCCTTATTAGTAAATTAAATTACCTGGCCAGTGCGCGCCCGACCCACCAAATCAGAACCATCCAAAATGGTATCGAAGGTCATGGCCTGAATGGAAAACAAGGACTCAATGCCCTTCTCCTTCAATTTGGCCTTCAACGGCTCGGAAATCCGAAACCGCGAGACCGCATTAGGATCCTCTTCAGCCTTTTTCACCTCAATCTTGGGCTCCTCCTCTTGTTCCACCTTGGCTTTCTTCGACTTCTTCTTGGTCTTCTCCTCGCTTTTGGACTTGGCATTCACGGCCTCGCCGAGCTCCGAGCTAGTCTCGCTCCTATCTTCGTCGGCTTCGACATCCAAAGCCTTACGTTTTTTAAGCTTCGACTCTTTCTTCGCCTTCTTCTCAGTACTTGGAGAGTCGGCTTCTAGGGTTTCGCTTTTCGACTTTTTCATCTTCTTCTCCTTTTTCTCCTTTGGAGTGGTCTCGGCGAGTAGATAATCAGATATATCTAACGAAGGCATGACGTTTTAGGGAGAGAGAACGTGTGTATACGTCTGTGTAAATAGAGAGACAGATAGAGGGAGAGAACAAACGAGAGATAGGCGGAGCTGTAAGAGTTTGGGGTTTCTCCTGCTACAGAAAGTTGTGGCAGTGAGGTGCGTTAGCAGGAGAATGAGAGAGGAGAAAATAAATTAGGGTTTCGCGGCTTTTATGGTTGTAGCGGTGAAGGCTTCTTGGGCCGTTAGATCATGTACCGCTACAAATTTTGGTTTCCTACCGTTGGATTTCCAGGGTGCTCGTCAGTTGTAAAATAGTACGGCAAAAGAAGGTAGCCCGGTCAATGCACAGCACACAAACAAAACGTGCCATCCCAATATTGTTTTTTGGCTTTTAAAAGAGAATAGCTCAAACGACGCCGTTCCCATCCAGTATTTGCTATTTTCTCTTGTAATTTTTTTTTTTTGGGGGGGGAGGAGGGGGTTGCTAAAAGAATTGTTATCATCAGTCGCATATGAATGATAACGACCAATAACTAGTATTTGTTTACACCCAAAATAAACAGCCAATAAGGGCAAGACACGTGGAGGAAATTGGGCTTGGTCAGAGCCGCTCTCGGCACCCTACCTACCGATCTCTCCATTAGGGCAACGCCCTCTCCTGGGACACGTGGCGCGCTCCTAAGCGACGCCCACAGTCCCACATCGAAATAATCAACAAAATGCACACCTCCCAAGAGCTATAAAAGGAGGCCAACTATCCCAAAATAGAGGTAATCAGAACTTACGGCATACAAGCCTATTGATCTGTCAGTTGAACTTTCTATTCCCGAATTTACTTAAGCATCCGAGAGCCTTCGGCCGGTACCACACCGGTGCTCTAGGTCTTACCGTGCATTTGCTCATATTGCAGATTACGAAGACTACCAAGGCATCAAGGACACCGAAGGCACAAATTTACTTAGTTGACCCTCTAAGTCAGGAAACCACTTTTTGGCGTCAACAGTATTGATCAGACTTTTTTTTTGGGGAGGCTAATTACGCCAATAAGCCCCAGATTAACCCCAATTCCCAGACTTGAGAGTTAGGACATTAATTGTCCGCTGGACATTCTAAGGATAATGTATCGTAGTTAATTGTGCTCTTAACAAAAATGAAACTCATAGTAGTAATCTAGTAAAGAAGGGGATTCATATATCGCCCAATCCGTAAGAAAAATACAACCTTCTGTTTTTTCTAAACACTGACATAAAAGTATAACTATGTAAGAGGCTAGGAGCATAGGGAAAATACTAAGATTACAATTGAAGAAAAACAAGAAGCCCAACAATGAGATATATAAGCCATTTCTGGGCAGATGGCTGGGAAGAAGAGGAGGCAGTGTTGCACAAGTTAAAGCCGTACCAAAGATCACTGGGAATGAAGGTGTTGTAGGAAAAGGTAACAGCCCTGGAATTGTGGCCATAGATTTTCACATTCTCAGGTTTCCAACCATCCGGTCCTGTTCTGTAGACATACAGATAACAGATTTGGTAGGCACAGGGTCCGTATATCTCGAATGTGTCTGTAGAACACCGTTCGAATGTTCTTGAAGATGGATCGTCCAGTCGCGGTGCATAAATCTGCCCAGAAAAAAATGATCCTGTTAAGTTACATAGGGAGCCAAATCTAAATACTAATACATTGGTGTTTAGCATTTAACACATTAACTTGATTCTAAGTTTTCTAACAAGTTAAGATGTATATGCAACCATATCCAATCCTAATGCATTTGGTTTTCCATTTTGACACGTTAGATTGATTCTAAAAAGCTTGGGTGTATCTGCAACCAAATCTAAGTGCTAATACATTAGTTTTACATTCAACACACTAAACCCAAACTTTAAAATAAAAAATATAAAAAAGTGCACCTTATACTACTAAAACAGCATAATACAATTCCTGTGGGATGGTGGGACTAAGAAAATACTTTATTTTTTGTTTGTTTCTTGCCAAATTTACAAGAAAAAATTGGAACCTAACTTCCTTCCATTGGTTTCTCCGTGTTCCAGAAACTAGAACTAAGCAAGATAATACTTTTTAACAATCCTAATAACTTTTGATTAGAAGTTAATACCAATTACAAGGGTAAGGGTTTCAATTTCAAGACATGGGTTGGTCTTAAATTCCCCTCAGGGTCAATTTGTGCTCTGTTCTTTGAAATACCCATGCTGTACGCTTGTTTTCTAAACACAATCCTATCATATATTACGATTAACCCTCTTTTTCTGAAGGCAAATTAGAGTAAGTAGAGAGAGAGAGAGAGAGAGAGAGAACCTGGTTGCCATAAGCATCCCCAAAGGAGATACTGATCTGGTCCCTTGTGTATCTCGTTGAGGAGCAGCTTGTGGTTATAATCGCCGTATAAGAGCAAGTCCCCGCATTCTTTTGTATGAAAGAGAAGATGAAAATGTTAGCAGAAGTTGAAAATATATCAAATTAAAGGAAAGCTTGCTAATTTGCCGATTGTTGTATTTACCTTTATCTGGCTGATATTGAAATCTTTGGCGGGTTCAGGCTGTAGTATGCTTGATTTGGCTTCTGAGAGCGTGAGGAGGAAGGCAACTTGGAGAAGCAGCAAAGTGAGCGCCTTGATCATGTTTGATTGTTTTCTCCTCTCAGAAAGAATATGACTTGCGGAATGCGGAGGAGTCAAAGAAAAGCAAGCGTTTTGTGAAGAAGATAATTTTGTGGAGAAGGCGCCTTCCACGAAAAGAGTAAATCATTTATGTCCATCAAGACAAATAAGGACAAATCCGTCTTTAAAATTAATTTCTATGTTTTCTTCATTTTATTTTGGGCTAACGACAAAAGACTCCCTCAGAGTTTGGGGTCATTCTCAATACGAGTCATGGATTTCAATTTCATCAATTTACATATTTAGTTTAAACCGGACGCATTGCATTTCGGCCAATGGGCCTATGGGCGCATTTGATCGTGAGCAAATACATGTCCAGGGCCAACATAGCTATCAGCCCAAAAGCAATTGTAAGCAATTATCGGGCCAAAAGCAATTGTGAGCAGTTATCAGCCCAAATTATTTAATAGATGTTTTTTTATTACTACTTACAAGCAATATGGAGAGGAGGAAATCTAAACAAACCCATGACCTCGGATGCCCTCGGATGCATGAATAATGCTCTTGATTTGAGTTGCTAACATCTTGCATTTAATACATGTTTAAAGATGGGAAAAGATTTGTCCCTGTATTGAAACTGTATGAGAAAGGTGAATTAGCTTTGTAGTGCTGTTCCACAATTCCGCCCTAGGAAAAAGGACAAAAAGATGGATAGATTCCATTTGAGCTTTTATCTTTTATTTTCCACTCCTTGGAGTTGGAATTGGAAGGTTCAAAAAATAAAGAGACGATTTTGGGTTCCTTCCTTTATCATCTTTAAAAGGAGAGAAGAAAGCATCACCACCCTGCTCTTCTAAATGAAGCACTCCCGTTATACTGATATTGCCTTACGGTGGGTGATCATTTAAGGATCCAGAAGAACATGACTGCTAGATTAAGTCTATCAAACTATTTAGCAATTCATTATTATGAAGTCTACCAAAAAAGAAATCAAATACATCAATGATATTTGTCATTCAAGGCATGCTATATATGGCCCAAAAATAATTATAAAAAGCCATTTATCTGATACCAATTTATTATCTTTCTCTATCCATGCCATGCTCCCATCCACCTCCAACCGAACAATATGGACCACACTAGTCTCTGTGTGGCACTACATTATCACTTCACCACCTACAGCTACTCGTTGCATTGAACTCGTAGTGACTAGATATATCACTCAACTGTATACAAACTATACTGTAGCCAAAGAATTAGATACAAACTTCCCAATGCCCATTAACCCTTTTCCCCTACAATCTGGGAAATTCCTTACCCATCCAATTTATGTGACCCAAATAAAATTATAAGATGTAAAAAAGTGCAAAAAATAAATAATAAATTTACCGCCATTTCTTTCATTTCCATCTGAACCTCCACTCACCGTGCTCCTTGAACCTCCTCAACACCCCTTCCAGCGCAATATCGAAAGCATCCTTCACACTCTCCAAACCCTCCTGAGGTTTCGCATACAAAAACTTGGGTATATAATCGATCACTTTCCCTCTCATTCTTTCAACCTCCTCTCTGCTGAACCCTTGAAGCACGTTCTTTATCGACGTACCGTTTATAACCGCGTTACGGTCTATGTAAACGGAGTAACTCTCCGGTTCGCCCGGTAAAAACCACTCGTACTGTATGTAAGCGGTTCGCTTCCAGAAAAAGACCGGGATCGAACCGGCCACCATGCAGTCGAAAATCGACCTCCGCGTGAAGCTATCGCCTCTCGGCTGCAAACAAAAATCCGAGTCCAGAAACGTTTCGAGGATCGCTGAGGTGCCGTTCGAGCACTTGGTCCCCGCGCAGTCCACTACTCGGCACGACTCCGACTCGCTCTGGCAGTGACTCAGTAGAAGCCCTCTGAAGTCGTTCTTTATCGCTCCGCGTTTCGCTCCTGCGAAGCAGAAGAGCTTCGTGCGGTTGCGCGTACGGACGAAGCTCTGCCACTCGGCAACGTCGGAGTCTGACCTGGGGTGGAATCCGGTGGGGTAGGGAACACCGACGTCGAAATAGTCCCACGGGTTTCGCTCTATCAGGAGACGCGTGATGTTTCTCATGCCGGGGAGGTAAATGCAGCGTGACCCCCAATCTTGGTCGTTGGACCGTCGAAAGTCCCACGTGATCCGCCCCATCGTGATGAAATGATCCCAGCCCTCGGATCTTTTGTAGTACGGCTGGTCCTGGACCCACCTAAGCATCATCTCGCAGTGGCGGTCGCGGTCCTGTGCGGTACTGGAGTTCGACCACAAGTACTTGCCCACCGCGAGTCCAGCGTAGAAGGGGATGTAGAACGCCGTGGCCGATTCTGGCTCCATGACCCGGCACTTATGGTTCAGGATCCGATTGTGGAAAATCACCTCCGAAACGAACTGGTCCGTCCAGTACCACGCAGGAGCGAGATTCTCCGGCACGACTCCGGCGATTCCCGTCGCCTGCTGGCCGAGCCCCTCGTTCGCCAAGGCTTTGCAGCGCGAGCTCCACGGGTTGAGGTCGTCGCAATTTTGTAAAATCTCTTGGTTGAGGGTTTTGGGGAGGTCGTAGACGAAGACCCGGCCCGA